TTATAAAAATTTATTTCATGTATTATTTTTAGAAATATTAATATTTTATTTTTAGAAAAGAACCAATTTAGGAAAAAGACACNACTTAACATTAAAATAAATAGTAACGGTGCTTTTTTGTGTACATTACGGCATTTATAAAAATTTATTTCATGTATTATTTTTAGAAATATTAATAGTATTTTATTTTTAGAAAAGAACCAAATTAATAATGAAGCAGTTATTGCTGTTTCTTATCAACCCCCCTCCCACGTTTCATCTAATGAGCAGTTTGCAGGCTATTTGAACTGAGTCTCTTTTGTTAAAATTATGTAATGGAAATAATAGCAATAGGAAATAATAGAAGGATATTAGAAAATAAGTTCACATAATTAGTTTCATTACTAAAAATGTAGAAGACAAATTATTTTTGTAGACATACATTTCAGTTTTCAATATATGATACAAAATTCAGGTATTAGAAGTATAATTTTAAAAAGGAATTAAATGAAACGCAATTTTTTTTAAACTTAATTCGAATATTTTATTTTTGAACTAATTTTTTTCCTCCAAAATTAAGTTATTTTTGCCTTTATATCCAATAACAAATAATTATAACAACCGTACTCTAATTTAAAAAAAAAAAATTTTTTTTCTAATGCAACTTATATCGATAACTCTTTTCTAATTAATATTTTTGTAATAAACCTATGAGTGACAAGTTCAGAATAAATTTGACCATGAACTTTTCATTCAACCTAATTGTACCCCACAGAGTAGTGTTTCAAAAATACTTACGTTTTTTTTATTTTTATAAGCACATATTTTATCTCATTTTTAAAAATTAAAATTTATTATTCTTAGAATTCTTAAATTGTGACGTTAGTTGCGCATATCACTTATCGGCTAACCTAAATTATTTATTTCAAGAGTTCTTACAGCCTCTTGTTCTTGTCATTGTTTTTAGTAATAATAAAACTGACTCGGGTATGATTCTGCATATGATAACACGGAGTGAAAAACCTCCCACGATTAGCCCGATGGCAAGGGGATTCTAACCCATCCCGTTTACCACTGAGGATATTTTACGCTAGCACTGTGGTCGGTGCGAGGCAGAATTCGTACCAATCAGATACCACTGGGATTCGAACCTGGGTCTCTATCCGCTGACCCATCGCGACTATTACTGCATTACATAAAATTAAAATTTTTCCTGTTTATATTGAGAAAAAAATCACTAACTAAATTTAAAAAAAAGCACTCATTAAAAATATATTACCATTATATCTCAACTTTCTAAGTTACTTTTTTTCTATAAATCTATGCACTTTTTAAATTAGCAGCTAAAAAATAACGTGGGCTGTGAGCTGAAATAATCCTAAGCTGTATTGAACTATATGAAGTTATTAAATCTGATTAAGTTTCTTAATTCTCTGTTTTATTTTTTAATGAGCTGTAGTATTATTTGTAAGTGAACAATAGTTAGTCTAAGTTACTTTTTTCTATAAATTTATGCACTTTTTACCTTAGCAGCAAAAAATAACAAGTTCTGTGAGCTGAAATAATCCTAAACTGTATTGAACCATATGAAGTTATTAAATCTGATTAAGTTTTTTAACTCTCTATTTTATTTATATTTATTAATGAGCTCTAGTATTTATTTGTAAGTGAACAATAGTTAGATGTTTGAAGGTGAAATCGAGAAATAATATTGTGGCGAATTTGCTCCTCTCGTGGCAAACCCCAACTTGAAAGGATTTTAAGAGGCACATCACGTAATTTTTTATGTTTATATTTTTACTCTTCCTTCTTCAACCTTGGTTCTCGAAAAGAACGCCTACGTTAACTTAGGAAGGAATAAAAATACTCGTAAGATTAAAAAGGCATTTTTCTTTTTAAAAAATAATCACTTTAATGAAGAGGCAGGAAACTGCTAAAAACGAATTTCATACAATTATACTGAATTGCTTTTTTAAAAAAATTAAAAATAATAATAACAGTACGACTTACTATTTTATAAATAAATAGGCTTATCTAAGATCATTCTTATCTTATGAGCAATTAATTTCACGCATAATACTTGAATTGATACTTTTTGTTTTTAAATGTTTTATCTTTCAGTTTTTTATCCTATTGGTTTTTATAAGTTTTTCTTTGGAAATTTAAAAATGCCTGTTGCATTAATATTCTTTAAATAACATATTCTATATACGATATTTTATGATATATTATGATTTATGATTTTATGATATTATTCAATCGTTAAAAAATCTATTAAATTAAACAATGGTAAAGAATAAGTATATGTTCTACATTTTTCCAGTTCGTCTTAAAAACTCTGTTCTATTTAAAAAAAAAAAAAAAAACGTTTAACCAACTACTTATTGTGAACGAGAAAAGATAACGAAAATTGTGATAGATAAACTCCGCAATTCAAAAATTTTATATATATATATATATATATATTTTTTTTTAATGTGAACTTTCGTAACTAAATTTTCTTCAGTTCTCTCAATAAAGCGTAACAAAAAAAAATTTAATAAAAAATAAACGTCATTTACATTTGAAATTTAAAAATGCTGCTGCATTAATATTCTTAAAATAGCATATTCTATATACGATATTTTATGATTTGCAATTATTATTCAATCGTTGAAAAATCTATTAAAATAAACAATGGTAAGGAATAAGTATTTGTTCTACAGTTTTCCAGTTCCTCTTAAAACTCTGTTTTATAAAATAAAAAAAATAAAAAGTTTAACCAACTATTTATTATGAACGAGAAAAGATAACGAAAATTGTGATAGATAAACTCGCAATTCAAAAATTGTATATACAGTCAAACCTCGATATCACGAACTTGAAGGAAGAGGAGAAAAAATTCGAATTATCGAAAATCGCACGTTATCGATGGTAGAATAAAGATAAAATCTCTTTACATACCTTATTTACTATTCCATATTTATTCTAAAAACACTTTTTACACTTAAAATGATTCAATTGTTGTTAGCTTTAGAGATGTGTAAGAAAGTTGGTCTATAACAATAACACTTTCTAAGTGAACTGTAGCTTTAAATGTCTCCTCTGACATATTCGGCTGCCTCTCAATAAATCTCCTTACAGTGTCCACTGCAGAAAGTGGCTTGTTTGAGAATCGGTTATGATTATGAGAATTGATTTTCTATTCTTAAAATTTTTTTTTGAATATTTTTTTATTTTCAGAAAAAAAATCTACACTATGGAGAGAAAAAATTCAAGTTATCGAGGGATTAGAAAAAAAATTCGAGAAATCAAGTTTTTTTTAACATTAAGTGTATAGGAAATTTGAAGGGAATTTTTTCTTCTTCGAGATATCGAAAAATTCGTGAAATCGAGGTTCGATTGTATATATATATATATATTTTAACGTTAACTTCCCTAACTAAGTTTTCTTCAGTTCTCTCAATAAAATGTAACAAAAAAAAAAAATTAACGTCATTTACATTTTAACGAGCATTTTTTCATCGATAAATATACAATTTATAAATCGTAATAAATGAGTAAGCTATCATACAACTAACTTGAAGTAACGTAACTATAATATGTTTAAAAAAAATCAACTATTATCTATTCTCATTTAAAGTATTTATCTCTGTAATTTTAATATCCTATATACATTTATTCTCCCTCGTCAATAGTGTGCAATATTTAACATAAATGTTTTGAGCCTTTTGACATAAGACAATCGATGAATCATAACTTATTCTTGGAAGTCAATTAGTATGGAAGAAATTGTTCCCAACTTTCAATAAATGGTAGAAGTTCAATCGATAGACAAGGTAGGAATCGTGTAGTAAAGGTGTGTAGTCTGAGCGACGCCGTTGTAAGGAAATGTCGATGGTAAAGAGACCACTGTCTATTCCACTTACTGTCCTTGACCCAAAGGAGCCGCTGTCGCCACCAAAACGGCAGGTTTCATGTCTACCTGGCTGCTTTTAGGTGTGTGCTTCGGCTCATTATTCATTAGTTTCGGTTTGTTTTTATTTCAAGCTGGTAGCGCCATCTATCGATTACATCGTATTACTGAAAAGGTTTTTATATAAATTAAATTGAAGCATAAGAGTTAGCGTTATTATCTTGTACTTATTTCTATCATTATTTATTTACATGTAAATTACTTGTATGTTTTTTTTGCAGATTTTTTTGTATATAGTATTAAAGAATTATTGTTTTGCAATAAATAAAAAGAAGTAAATAAAGAGAAGTAAATAAAGTATTGTAAGTTCGATAGATTAAAAAGATAATTTTAATGACAGGATTCGTACATTTTAGGGAACGTCTGGAAGAATTTGAAATCATCTTTGTTTCGAGTTAAGGAAAATTATTTGAATTTTTTTTCCAAAAATGCAGTATGAACCCTGAATTATTAATTTATGTTCATTTAAAATTATTTCTGAAGATGGAAACGCTATTTTAAAAAATAAAACATGAGACAATTAACAATGTTATCTCGATGGAGGGAACTATCTAGTTTTATAGCCAGGGGCAGAAAGATCCGAAGTTGTGTAGTATAGTAACGATATATCATGTAAAGTTATAGTACGTAGGGACGCTTTGTGCTGTACTCATTTAAAATATGCTTACAATATTTTCTACAGATAAAGCTGTCATTCATTTCAAATATTTTGTAAAGATCTATTACACCTTTTCGCAATCGAACTCCGCAAATTACTCAATCTTATCTATTATTCAGATCTTAGAAACTTTAGCGCCGTATTTTTAACTGTTTTCCATTCCTTTTGCTTTCAATAACATCGATATCTGAGCAGTACAAATTGAGCTGCAGCTTGAAATAAATGTACAATTTTAGATGCAGGTGTAAACTTAAATGATGTATTCACTATACATCAAAAATCTCTAAGGAAAAACAGTTTATGTCTATAAAAGCTGATTTTTGTAGAAATAATGATTTTACGCAAGTTGTATTCATATTATGTTATTTAATTAAGTAACTAAATTTCTTCTTTTTTTATTGTTCTCAGGTAGCGGTGAATATTCAAAGCCCTGGTGTAAAGTAGCCTACTGGGAACTAAACGTCAGAGTTGGAAGGCAGTTTCAGACTTCTAATCCTACCTTAAATGTATTTGCCGATCTACCTCACGGAGATGGTATGTGCCTTGAAACTTTAGCCAGCACACGCATCACAGAGAATGCGTCTGTCCTGCAAACTAGGACTAAAATAGGTCAAGGAATTACTATGTTCAAAGAAGATCAGAAAGTGTGGGTTTACAACAGGTCAGAGTATCCTTTGTTCGTGAATTCCCCGACACTGGATCCTCCTAATTCAGAAAAACTCACTGTTTACAAATTGTTACCTGGATATTGCATCAATATATTTGACTATGAGTTGTCGAAACTTAACCAGCGTTTGAGGGATTCTTCCACTCTTAAAAATGGGCCCATTGATGAGTATGCCGTCCGCATCAGCTTCGCCAAAGGTTGGGGTTCTTCCAAATACTCAAGACGTTGTATAACATGTTGCCCTTGCTGGTTAGAAGTGATGTTCCTAGTACATAGGTGACAAAGAGTGCCATTTCTGAATTTCATACCGACCCGTTGCAGGGTTAATACTAGTCGAGCTTAGTGCCATTGTGCCATTTGGCTGGTTGCAGTATGCCAGCACAGAATTGGTGCCAACTGAAATATAAATACTTTCTGAGTTGGATTCTCAATTATATACTGGGTAGTCCAGTGTTGTATTTTGCGAGAGAGTGGTTAACACTCACTCCTATGTGATAAAAGTTTCTATATTTGTTGATGCATTTATTCAATCTAAAATTATTAAGTTATTTTTAGTGTTGCTTGCTTTCTCAGAATTCACAGAATGTAGAAGTATTAAAGGCTAACCCACCATAATTTCAAATCTAGTATTTATTAAATTTGACGAAGCTGCGATTTTTTTTTTGTTTAACAAAAATATTTTTATGCCTTAATTTAAATGCTGTCAATATATGTCAATTGTGTTCCATTTCTAGCTAGTTTTTAAAGCTGTTATGTTTTGATATATTTGTTCTGCAAAATTGTTTGTTTTGTGGTTTAGTATGAGAATATTTTTTTTTTATAATTATAATTCCCCCCTTTTTTACTCGTGTTGGAAGGACTTATTATTTTTTTTAATTATACAATTGAAGGAAGCAGTTAATGAAATTAATCAATTGTATTTCCATAAAATTTTAATTTGCGACAAAATTATTGTTTAATTGTGATTAAATTATTTTTAATGATACAGATATTTAAACATACAACATAAATTTTGATTTTATAATAATCTAGGTTAGCTACGTGCTGTTTAATTTTTTTTCAACAGTTTAACCAAGCACATCAAACATTTTTCTCTTGGGAATTAGCTATCGCTAATATGTATATTTTTATTATTATTAAACATCTGTTTTACTTTCATTGTGAGAAATATGAAGAAAAAAAATCATATTTTAGTAAGGGACCATATTTCATCAAAGTAGTGAAAAATCTAGATTCATTTATTCATTGTTATTTTAATTTATTGCAAATAAAAAAAAATACTAATTTAATATTACGTTCTGGTCAGCAATATAATGTATGAATTTAGATTTTTCACTATGTTTGCTGCATTTAATGTTATGGACATGCCTATTGCTGATATTAGTGCCATACTCAATTGCCTTATCATGCTTTAAGAATTGTATTTATTCATGGTAGAGAAACTAAATAAATTCTAAATATTTTAGTAGTTCCATCATTCTTACAATTTTGAGATAATATAACCTTTTGTATGCTCTATTCAGGTAAAAATATCTATTTATGTACTTTTAAAGTGTTCTTAGGTGTCAGTATATTTTTTTCCCATTAAATTTTAGCTTTATGTATAACTTTTAGAAATAAATCTTTAAAAAAAAGGAGAGAAAAAAAACATAGCTGCCAACTATATTGGATTTTGTCGGTTTCTCTTGGTTTTAATGTATTTTAAAATGTTCCTAAAAATGGAAAATTGCTGAAAAATCACTATCAAAATAGTTTTAATTTTTTTACTTAATTGTTTGCTTGAGTTATATACTTTAAAATTATGTCATAAACCTCATTTACAGTATAATCAATTTGAAGCTTTTTTTTTTAAATATTCTTAAAATTCCTAGTTATTTTTTATTCCAATTTTCTGTATTAATTAATTGAAAAATAAGGCACACAATTTATTTAAAATTATGGAATCAAAAATATATTTTTAAAAAAAAAACAAAGCAGAATAATTTTTTATTCGAGTGAATTTAATGTCAATTATTTGGTAAATGTTACATATATAGTTTAAATTTATTAGCATTAATGCAATTTTTTTCCATTCTGATATTTTTTTAATAATCCCTAAAATTACCTGCATTAAAAGAAATCTTATGGACTTTTCCTTTTTATGTTGGCAGCTATTGCTATGTAAAATACTTTATCTGTATCAATGTTTTCTAGTGGCTTTGCAAACTTTTTAAGGGAAAGCATTTATATAATTTCTTAGAGAAAATAAAAAATAAAAGATTGGATTTTAATTCTATCCATTAACTTTTTCTAATTCGATTAATTGCATGTCTTGTAATCCTATTATTAAAACGGCAAAATACTAAAATAACAACTTTAGTGATACATTTTTTCTTATTACTCCTGTAAGTACAAAGACTAAAGTGCATTTACATACCTATAATTGTTAACTCTTGGCTATGTGTCTTAAAATGCTGAGCTTAGCTTGCTAAAAGCATCTTCACACTATGATACCATTAGTTATGTCTTGTACAGTGGCAGCTTACTCTGAATGATTGTATGTTACTCAGTCCAATGTAAACTTATCATATTGTAAATTCAAAAAGTTTATTGCTTTAAAATATAAACATAACTTATCAAAGTATGGTGCTATTAGATACTCATAAACTGAATTTTGTTTTAGAGCTGAAAGTGCAATTTCCTTTACTGTTTTTTTATTGAAAAATAAAAAGATTGTCTAAGTAGCCGATAAGTTAATACAGTAGATCTCCAATTATCACGACTGCCTAGACTCAATCCGTGTATATGATTTATTGAAATAAATAAAACGAAGGAAATAGACTCTGAGGGAATAAAAAGTCAAATTCGGTTATAACTTATTATTTTATAAAGTTGAAAATAATTTGTTAAAATTTTTGCAATTCCTTCTATTTTTTCCCCCGTCTTAAATTCTGATGTATTTCTTATCTTTTTTTTTTTTCAATTAAAATCCCACTCTAATTAACCAGGATTATTGTCAATCGAAATAATTGAAGTACGGATAATTAGAGTTCTACTTCTCATCTTTTTTTTTCAATTAAAATCCCTTTCTAATTAACCAGGATTATTATCAATCGAAATAATTTGAAGTACGGATAATTGGAGTTCTACTTCTCATCTGTTTTTTTTTTTTTTTTTTTTTTTTTTTTTTTTTTTTTTTTTTTTTTTTTTNTATTGTCAATCCAAATAATTGAAGTACGGATAATTAGAGTTCTACTGTTGCTATTAGTAGAGTTGTGTACTGAAGCATCATTTGTAACATATTCAAATCTATTAATTTAAATCAGTATTAGTATTGAATAATGCTAATGGGTTAGTTCTATAATTAGACTCTGTGATTTTAGTCTCTTGATTTGTTCTAATGATTCGAATGAAGCCCATTATTTCATGTTCTGACTGATTAGATTCAGTAATTCCAATTTATTGATATTAAGATTCAAATTTGTTAAAGGAATCGATTCGTTTGATTTAGTGATTCATTGGCAAACTTAATTTTGCACTGAGTCATCAAAAATTCTGTTTGTTTCGAAGGACCTCATGATTCATTACCCAACTCTAGCTTTTAGTCGTAGCTTTAAAAAGTTTTCTATGTTTTGGTATTATTTTGATGAATAAAACTATGAATTTATGCTATTATTTTTAGTATCCCCAATTAACCTCTGACTGGTAATCCCAAACATTCATGTAATGCAATCAGATCGCATAACTAATTTTTTTTATTATTATTATTATTTTCAACCTATATGGAGTGTAATAACTCCTTGCTTAATACTTTGGTCAGGGGCTTTTCCAGCTTAAAGTTAATTAAGCATTTGACTTCAGTTTAATTTAATAGATCATGTTATAGAAAGATTTTTTTCAATTAATATTTATTTTTTGATACAGAATAAATAGTAGTTGAAGTTGTTTAAAAAAAGCTGAAACATTGTTTTAATATATGAGCAAAAAGTTTTTTTTATTATTATTATTCATTGTAAATATTCATTATAATTAAACATACTATAGATATCATATGTATAATTTTCACTTGTACAGTTGGACGAAAACTAATGTTGTACAAAGAGGCATTGCCTCATGTTTCTATATAAGATATTATTAAAGAAATTGTTTTAATTAATAAGCCTGCTTCTTGTGTTTATTTTTACCTCATAAATTTTGCAGTTAAAAAAAAAACAATTGCAACACTCTTTTTAGGTAAACCATTTGAAAATGCTTATAGCTTAGTCTTACTGTTTTAGTTTTGTGATAGGAAAATAAACTAATTCGGGATGGGAAAAAAAGACATTTAAATGCAAGTTTAACGTATTTGGAAAGAACTGAGATATTTGTGATCATTCTGATTTATTTTTGTTGAAATCCAAATAGCAACATTTCTTAATCTGCTCTAGAACAAGTACTTTTTATAGATTATTTCGAAACTTATACCAAAAAAGTAATTTCTGGTGCAAAAGTCTACAAAAATATTAGTTCAGTTAATATCGCGATAAAATATTTATGTCGCATTTTGTTTTAAAACAACGAAACTTTTACATTGTCGCGCAAAAATCATTGATTATTACTGCTCCGAAATGCCAATTGAAGATCAAGGGAAGAGCGGTATTTGTCCATGAAAGCTGATTCGGAGCAAAAACAAATTTTGCGCAACCAACTTTTCCACAGAAACAAATTGAAAGAAATGTTATATTCCACAAGAACAAATTGTTAACATAAGGCATCTGCATTCTAATTCCTCATAAATCTATCACTCCTGATCTCCCCCTCTGTTGACCAGGCGAGTGGTCCTCTCGCCGTTCAAGACCCCGTTCACTATGTAAAAGGGGGCAACCACAAACAATTTGTAGCTTACAAATTATCAATTTGCTTTTGTGGGGTATCTATTTCATTGAGGGACGAAAAAGCTGCTAGTTCCGAGGTTGCTTTCAACCTAGTGAAAAATTGACAAGAATTGTTCTTCATCTTCAATTATCCTACAAAGAGCAGTGGTGGCTCATGGGATAGAACGTTCATCTTTCAATGAGCTGAACTGGGTTCGAATCGCAGTGATGGTTAGTCGATACGAATTTCGCACCCGGCTTGCACCGACCACAGCGCGGATATCCTTAGTGGTAGACTGATCATGGATCAGAGTTCCCTTGCCGTCGGCTAACCATGGGAGATTTTTCCTCTCCATGTAAAGCAAATGCGGTTAGTTCCATCAAAAAGTCCTCCACGAAGGCAAGTTTCTCCCAATACTTGATACAGGAGTTCACTTGTCTTCCGAATTGGGTTTGAACATAAGTAATCGAAAACCCAAAATAGGGTCGGCTGCCTAACGACGGTAAAAAATTAAAATACAATTATCATACATTGAGCAGAGAGGGCTTAGGGGATAGAGCGTTCGCCTTCCAATGAGATGAACCGTGTTCGATTCTGGTCGATACGAATTCCGCACAGTCCTCAGTCGTAGACGGGTCATGAGTTACAGTCCCCTTCTCGTCAGGCTAACCGCGGGAGATTTCCCTCACCATGTAAGTTAGTTCTATTAAAAAGTCATCAACGAAAGCAAATTTCTCCCAATACTTAAGCCAGGAGTTCCCTTGCCTTCTGGATAGGATTCAACATTACAAGGCGACGGAGCTGAACATTAGTAGTCTTAAACCCAAAAAATTGATCGGCTGTTCAACGACGGTTATAAAATAGAATATAAAATTATCCTACATAGAAAAAATACTTTGAATTAATCTAGTTCTGACATTACTCTGAAAATTTTTGCCAAGAAATTTAGTTTCATGAGTTTTGATTTTTTTTCCTTAAAAAAATTTTTTGGAAGAAAAATGATTGAAAAACTTCACGCTTTAATTAGGTATTTTTTTAAAATAATAAGATTTAACGTAGAACGTACAAACTTAATTCAGGAAAAATTATCATATCGTCTTTTAGCTTAAATACAGAACTGATGTTGAAAAGTGATGAAGTTTAAAAAAAGAAAAAAGCGTAGAAAATGCTAAAAATTTCAATTTTAAAATCAACCTTCATTGGTTTTAAATTTGCTGGAACAACACCTAATATGCACTTATACATTCAATGAAGGTTATTATTTTAAAAAATATGCTTAATATAAACTTGTGTTGTTATTATTTTGTGAAGAAGTTTTCTACAGAATGCTTTTTA